CAACAGGATTATATTTCATGAGCATCCAAACTGAAATGTGTTATGAAGTGGGTGAACTCAAATGACATCATGAGGTAAACAAACATAGTACAATGGCAGACTTCTTTCTTCATTTTCATTTCCTTTATCTACACCCACCAAAGGCAGTCCTTCTTGATATGTGCACTATGTTACATACAAATTTCTAAGACATTTCGTTCAAACATGATGTTGATTTTGCATAGATGTAGAGTGCACTCCATGATTGCTGACAAAACATCCCTGACTTTGGATCTATCTGAGAAATTGGTGATGGTTTGAGTAAATCACAAGGAATCATGGCAAAAATGGCTTAGAGAATGAATATTATTTTCAAATAAAAGTTGAGTCCTTTCAAGCACTATATGCTGTATTTTTCCACCATTTCTGACAAAAAGAAAAACTGTCTCTCTTCATCTGTTATTTCATTTATAGTGTTGGAAAATGCAACCTGAGAACAAAATCTCACAGACAGACTGTGATTAACAGATGCATTTCCAAAGAAAGCCAATGCCTGGCACTGATAAGAGTTAATTAACTTGGGATAAGCTTTGCAACCTATCTGGACTCAAAACCTATTGTTCTTCAGTAAATTGCTACAGTAACTGTTAACCCAATTTCAATACAAGGAACAGTTGAAAAAAAAGCAGCTGCATCACAATTTGTTGGTGTCTGTGTTGACCATATTTTGATTAATCAGAAATGACCTAGTTAACTCTCCTAGTGTGGCCATGGCCAAAGAAGAATTTAGAATGTTTTGGTAGACAAGTTTAAAAGGAGCCACCACTAATAAGCCCATGAGGTAATCACCCAATTAATTCATGTATTCTATGTAACAGCTAATATTTTTCACATTTTTCCATATGGTTAAAGTATCTTTTAATTAGTACATTTTTATAATTGTATTTTAATGTTTATCCTTTCTTTTTAAATTTACTTCTTAATATAGTGTCCCCAATTAGCGTCATTATGATGCTAAATGTATTTGACACTCAAATAAAGACACTTACTTACTTACTTACTTACGTAAATCTCATTCAAGCCTGAGTTACTTATGAGTCATGTAATTATTCCACTTGTTATGATGACATTGGCTATCTGGTGATGAGCTGTCATTACACAATTTGCATTGAATCTGAAATCTGACATAAATCCAAAATTTTATGCCTCCATTTGCTTGATTATGTTTAGCTGTGTTTATTCATGTTCCTCTGGTTATTATCTCACCATTTCTATGAATAACTCAGGTATTAATGGCCATGCAGCAGTACTCCAAAATATAAAATTAATAGGGGTCATGCATTATCTTTGTTGGGCCAATTATGACTGGACATCATTTATTACTCATAACCACTTTAAAAGCAGCAAATTTGAATTTGAACACCAAATTAAAGAAGAACATAAGAAAGAATGGACATACAAAGGTTACTGAAAGTTGTTTCACTGATTTCTAGAGGTGTCTATTTCAACTTTTGCTCACAGTTTTTTTGAATATTAATTGATGTCTCATTTTTGCCCACAATAAAAGAGATTTGGGAAGAGGAAGGATCCTATTTTTTTAAGTTTAAATATGGAACAATAGATGGCGAATCTTCTCTGTGAGGGAATCCTCTGATAGCCTCTTGCCTTGACCTACATCCTTTTCAATGCATTGAGTGGAGGGCCACATCAGTCACAGCGGCCAAGCATTTAACGGCCAAGCAATCTTTATATTCCTGAGAATTCGACCGTCATTCATTCATTAAACACGCCCCTTGAGTAGTTTGTTTTCTAATTGTCATGTGAAAAACTTGCATGTTGTTGTAAGCTTCAATTTGGCCAGATTTCACTGAACATTTCACTTTCAGATTCTGTTTTAGAGACTTAAAAAATTCAGGCAAAAGTGTTTTAAAATTAAACCTGCCAAACTATTTCAGCCAGTAAACTATTGCAGATTGACAACTTTGATGGTTTGACATTATTGACGATACTGTTGTTCACTTTGGAAATAAAGTATGTTTTGAAAATTGAAAACAATGCGTGGGGAATTTAAATGATTTTTTATTATAAAACAAGTAGAGAAGCCTTGACTGTGCTCTGGTCTGCTGTAAAGCACTTAGGAAGCAGGAAGTATACAAGAAGTGGGGAGAAACATTTGCATACGTCTCATGTTTCTCCCCACACTAATCTTTCGTGCTTTAGCTGCTTCCTGCATGCTTTACAACAGATCCGAGCACAGTTAAGGCTTCTATATTTAAGTAACATCTAATTGAGTAGTCTATATATAATTTTGTCTGATTAGAAGCAGTCCTGAAAAGGACTGTTATCATTAATATAGTGAATGCTGTTTTTGAAAACTTTTGAAGCAGTGATCACCATTATTAGAGTCAATAAGAATTAGTGTGTCAGACATGTGTTTTAAGTCTGGTCCAAGAAATTTGATTGCATGGTCAGATATGCTGTGATTTTATTGGGTGTAAGACTCAATTAGCATTGTACTTTAAAGACTTAAGGTGATCGTAGTTGATGATGTAATGTCTTGAATAAGTTTTTTACATGTTGATGGTGGTTGTTCACATCTTTTGAGAGGAGTCTGTTGCATATATAATGCAGTAAAAAGCTTTACGGGGTCAGTCCTTTAGTTAAGTCATTGACTTGACTCTTAATGATACCATCTGTACAGGTTGCCAAAACATCAGTAACTTAATTAATTACCAACCACAGTCCATTTTGAGACTTTTCCATGCAGATAATAAGACTATTTTGTCATGGCAAGTATGATAAAGATGAAAATGTTTGAGAGCTCTCTCATGCAGAATCAATCAGTGGTAAAGTCTGTCCAGTTTTAAAATTTGTGGCGCAAAAAATATGCACTAATTTATTGCAGAGTCAGAGTTATAACATTGAGAAAGGATAGAATCTTATTTCTTAGCTACTTGCTGGCAAATTAGTGTGGAAAGCAGTATTCCCCTAGGAAGAGAGCATGCATCAGCACCAGTTAATGAAACCCATTCAGTTCGTGGTTCACCGCAAATATGATTACAATTTGACTTTCTTTCGTGATGTAATTTTATGTTTAGAGAACAATAAGGAAAGGTGCCTGATTTGTGGGAATGATGATCTGATTTGTGTGGAATGGGAGGTCATCCACAAAGTATAAGTCATGCCTCACTCTATACAAGGGTGCTCTACCTGAATCTTTCTTTGCCATTCCAAATCGAATTCTGATGGACAGTTTCTGAAGTTTTTGAGATATTTATGGATTTCCTCTATGATGTGATCTACCACAAGAGCATGATTAGCCTTCACATCGTACTTGATGACTTTCTCTACGACACCATTGCTTTTCTTTGGTAATGGATGTCTGGTATGAAGTCCGGCGTCTGCTATTCCAGGCTTATAAACTGGCTCAAAATCAACATTCTGCATTCCCAAGACCCATATTTCGATTATTGGTGGGAGTTGCGCGGTTGCCTGTTAAATAGAGGACGTAACGGTTTGTGGGCTGTACTGATCTTGACATTTGATGCTCCAAGGAGGTAGATGTTGAACCTGTCCTTTGCCCAATGTACAACTAAAGCATCTTTTTCTGTTTGACCATACCGCTTCTCAGTTGCGGTCATAGTACGGCTATGGCTTGGCCACAGGCCACTGTTTGTCTCGTAGTATTTGTGGTTGGTTTAGCAGGATCAAAGTAAGCCATGGGGCTTTTCCTAGTTACGCTTGATGTGCGCTTTTCAAATGCTTCATTCTCTTCACCCCGTTTGAACTTTGTCTCTTTATGGTCAGCTCTTGAGAGAATGCGGTAAGTGTTGCATATCTTGGAATGAACTCGGGAAAGTATCCTGTCATATCCAGGAAACTCTTTGCAGCTTCTTTTGACCCTGGGGAACTACTTCTTTTCACAGCCTCAATCTTTTCTGAGCTTGGTTTCGATCCATTCTTCATGAAACGATGTTCATAGAAATCTATTTCTCCAATTCAAAACTGGCATTTCTCTGCAGTTAATGTAATACCAAAATCTGCAGCTCTCTGCAAGACTATTTTGTTTTTGAAGGTCTTATCCCCCCAGCGGGATGTCATCATGTTGGTTGAGAGTTTTTGGTATTTTCCCAAGTATTCAGTGTATGGCCTCATCAGAGAGTTTCCAAGTAGCCACTTTTCCGGATTCTGGGCTAATTAGGAGTTGGTGGTACCCTTGTCTCATGTCAAGTTGGAAGAAGACCGGACCGTCATGAAATTTGTACAAAAAAACTTCAAGAGGAGTTACTCGGGTTTCCTGTGTCTTGCCACGAAGCCTTTTCCTTTTCTTTCACCAAGAGCCGCACGTGTTGGAACTATTTTGAGGCACTTTTCGGTCTCCTCTGTGCGCACTCCAGTTAACGTTTCGCTTTGAGGATCAGACAAACTTCTCTCATCACATTATGATACCACTGAACTGAAATACTTTTTTAAGGCTCTGCGAATCATTTCTCCCGAAAATAAATGTGTTTCTTGACGGAATAAGTGATACATCGGTCTAGTTCACTGATTGCGTAGTTGTACTGGGTTTGAGTCGATGAATTAATGAATAGGTAAACGCGCGCATCGCTGGATGTAAATTGACGACTTCTGATTGAATAAATCTTTCGTTTTTTCAGTTTGACGCCATGTAATAAACAACTTAATAACCTCGAACGTTCGTTCGAAAGCGAGAAAATCTCAAACATCGGCCCGGCCATCGCTCGGTCAATACATCGAGGCCTCAGTTTGAGATTTTCCCTTATCGACCTCACTCACGGTCATTAAGTAGTTCATAATAGTGCTGTAATTGAAGCTGTAATAAATGAACAACGAGGAAAGAAAAATAATATAAAAAAGTAGGGATATAAAATAACATACTAAGATAGTTTTGGCAGAAATGCTGCCGTGATCTCACAAATTCATTACTTTACTGATTTTAATCATTGAAAATACTCTGACTGTCAGCATGTTTTATTTTCCACATGACAGCTGGTGATGCAACTGTTGGTCAAGACAAAACCACTATTGAATCAGTGTCTCTTCCAAGAGCTCCAGCATCTCCTGATCATAATGGTGAAACTGAGGAAAAATCGGTTGGGCTCGCAAATGGTAATGCGACAGCTGCCAGCATCAATGTGTCTGATGTGCCTCAGCCCCATCAAGAGGATGATGGCCAACCCGAGGTTGATAAGGACCATGGAAACAGTGAAAACGACGCCGATTCAGAAAAAAAAGCTGCCGGAACACACAAAACATCAAAAACTGGTAACGGAAGTACTTCACAGAAAGAAAAGGACGCAAAGAAGGAGGGAGAAAGTCATAAGGAACCAAAGCAAAAACACCAGGCATCAGAGTAAGGAATTCGTTTTTTTATTATTATTTAGATGATACACTACTTGAAGTAAGCTTTCCATACTTTCATATCTTGGTTTTGTCCAATCAAAACCAACCAGACTGTTTGATTCAAGTTTTCCCTACTCAGTAGGTCACGTTTCAGTATTATGATTATACAAAATGTTAATGACGGCACCAAACGGCTAACATGGGAATATGCAGATGATACAGTGTTCCAGCAGTCGAATTAAACTACTTTTATCAGCTGGGATGGTGTTGAGTGAAGTTTCAGAACTCATATTTTTGACCATCACTAGATTGGTTTTGTTTAGGAAAAAGTGTCAGAAAGCTCCAAGACTTTTACATCTTGTTTTCCGCATTTTCATTTAATAAAAGGTTTTGCCTTAGCGGGAGTGGTGGGAAGTGGAAGAGAGACTTGCCAGAGCTAGAATCGTAGATTTAGGACGTAACAAGATCACAAATTAAATGAGCATTGATTGAAGCAAAAGACCAAATATTTCAAGAAACCCTGAGTTTTGGTTCGTATTTGTTATTTTTCGCAAACTAACCTATCGTTCCTTTGGTACTTCACAATTTCAATAAAATAAATCATATGGTTACCTGCGGATGAACATCAAGCGAAGAAATGATCTTGGCGGGTGAGCTTCAATTTAAGAAATTGCAGAATATTCAGGGTTCGACACACTTCGAACCCGTGCCTCTAAGATGCTTGTTGAGAGCTGCTACTAATTGAGCTACAAAGCCACATGTTGGGAGCGAGGTAAATTTTAGGGGAGTTTTCGTTGCTTTAGAGGAATTTGATTACAATTTAGGCGAAATTCAAGTGAGGAAATTATTCTCACAGTGGTGAGCTGCGTTCCAATGTAAGCAGTTACAGTTTCAAGAAAATTCAGGCTCTGACAGGATTCGAACTTGTGCCTCAAAGATACTAGTTGGGGTGCCACTACCAACTGATCAAAAAGGCCTCATCTAGGACTGAGGCAAATTTTTGTTTGGCCAAATTTTTTTTTTTACTACAGTAGCTTTCTTCTTTACAATTTCTGCTTCAAGTTTCAGGTAAGTTACTTGGTTCATTCCTTCCCATCCTAGCATGCAACCAGAAAGCAATGGAGTCCAAGGAAATGTGTTCGTGGTTAACCTGCTAGAGAAAACTCTCTCAGCCTCTCTCAATTTACTACATATCATTTTTATATAGTCAAAAACAGCAGTGATTTATATGAATAACAAAAACATAATTTAATTATATTCATAGGAAACGTGAAGGTGCAATGAATGACTTAAAGCCAGAAGACCAAAAGAATGCAAACACCAAAGAAAACCAACTTGACGAAAATATCAAATCTGATATAAAGAAAAACAGTGGCCATGACACAAGTTCTGTTGGGGATGTCATGGGGAATAGTAAAAAAGAAGACAATGAAAAGGAATATTTTCCCGGTTACAAGGGAAAGAGAATGACTGTTGTTTTTCATGCTGTACTTGCACCTCATTTTAAATTTGAAGAGAGTCAAGGTGACAGACTCTGTATGAGGTTTGGTGAACCTGCTCTTGGAGACTTTAAGAAAGATGTTGTTGAAGTGTTTCCACAAAGGTAAATTTATGTAAATTTTTTCAGGACGGTGAAAGTAATATGATGATCGCGGCTTCATCATATGTGCAAGGTCAATTTTGTCTGCACTACTTTTTGTTTCAGGGAAAGTTGTTGGAACAATGATTATAAATTTTGTAGATTTTATTTATATCTGAGTTGAAAAATGTTATAATTATACGCAGTATAACCTTTGCCAAGTGTACTATTATACTGCAGTGATTCTTTCCAGATCAACCTTCGATACATGAAGGAGAAAGAATGCTGTGTTTTGGATGATCACCTTTCTTTTTTCTTGAACTGTGATCAAATGCAATGAAATAAATAAAAAAATAAATCGGTCGAACTTGGTATTAAAAGTTTGATGCCGGTGTTTGAAGTAATATGTCATTTGTGACCATTTTCAGTTCATGCAAAGTTGAGATGAGCCTTGCAGCTGCCTCATTTCTCAGTTAACGGGCCAAGTCATTTCGATACAGTTTTATTTCGACATAATTTAATTCTAAGTGGCTGTGAAGAGACAGCTTACTCTGGTTTCTTTCACTACAAGGGGGCCTTCAGGTTTTCCTGAGTGACTCTATGAAATGTTCAAACAAACTACAAATTTGTTTCTTGTAAATAACGACACAGACTAGAAATGTTGTACTGTAGCATTTATGGTTCCAGTTGCACGTACTGACAGTTTAACTTGGATTTACAGATATCTTGATGATGGTTTTATCCTGGTGAAAGCCGAGCTCTCGGTACCACACATTTTTCTAGCTCGTAAAATTCCCTACAAATATGTTGTATTCAAAGAAAAACGAAAAGATTTAAAGGAGAAAGAGAAGCCTTTGTGGGAACAGTTACCTAACTTGGGAACTATGACGAACCGATGTCTTCATATTCCGCAGGACAGATGTCGTGAGGGAGGTACTTTCATGGCTTTTTTCATAACTCTCATTTGGGGCGTATTTTAAGCGAGCTACCGCTCATTACTTCGCGAAATGCGTGACCGTCATCTTAGATTCTCAACTCAGAAGAAGGGTTAGAAAAGAATTAATTTCCACTGAGGGGGTGATCGATAGCCGAAAGGAAGGAGGAGGGATGGCCTTTTCCGTATCCGTTTTATGCCCACTTTCGCCTGAATCAAACATCGCGCAAGGCAGGACAATTTATAAGAAGGTAGTGACATCAACTTGCGCTCCCAGAATATGAGCTAATAAAACAGGCTAATTTTCCACTGGTCAGCTTATGATTATGTAGAAGCACTGCCAATTAAATTAAGGTAAAGCTCCTAATTACTGCTTTGCATCTACTCTTGTTTAGCGTTCTGGCACCAATATGATGACACTATTTTCAGTTCACGAAGTTGGTGGCAAAGTATTCGTAGCAAGCTGCCAATTTTAAAGGGCATGGATCCCACTGAGGGAAGGAACATAGCAACTCGAGTCATGTTGCCTAAGTGGGAGGGTTTTACGGTGGATGACGTGGAGGAGAATATTACTGCTTGGGAAGCTATTCAGACAGTCAATGATATAGCTTACTGCTACACTCAAACCGAGGCTATGGAAAAGAGCCGCACAACAAAAAAAAATGTTCCACATCGTTATGATTTTCAACAGGTAATGTTCAATTAACTAAATTCTGAGAAGAATGTTTCATCTCACACACTGAATACCCTCTGTCTGCTACTCAGAGAATGCAACACTTTGCCAATACTTAAGCGATGTACCATTGTTTTTAAGGAAAGGATGCCATTTGGAATTTTAAAAGCTTCTACACAGTAACATTTGGCATTTCCTCAAAATTTTTAACACCCTTGGGAAACGCTTAGTAAGATTTATCGCTTGTCACTTAGAAAAAGGTGGCGTTACTTTTGGGTTAATGTTTTCCCAGACCAGGTCGAGGTTTAGTCCAAGTTTGAAATTTTCACATAACCCACAAAATCGATACTTGTGAAGGTGGGATGCCATTATAAATTGGTTACAGATGTTAGAGCAGTATTCCATGTGAGATGAAGAGGAGAATTTATTGATGAATCATTCGAAACAACTGTGGTGTGTCTGTAGCTCACAAGAGAAGGTAATGTAAGGATTCGTTATGCTGCACATAACTCGTGGGGGTTGGAAGCCTACTTTGTACGGCACGAACAATTTATAAACCACTTTTGCGACTTGTTAGTATGTGGAATCTGATAGAAAAAATTATAGTGGAAACTGTCAGATTGATAGTGCTTCCAATAAACAAATTGAGAGTGGAAACAACATTGCAGTTTATTCACTCAAAGAAACTACATATAAGGATGCACACCTCTGATTTGTTGTTGTACTTTGCGATGATTCAAAATTACGTTTTGGAATAAGAAATGCAACCTTTAGTCATAAACTCCATCGAGGAAACTTCGAATTCAGGTCCAATCTAACAAACTAACGTTAGTTTCTATTTGTTTATAATTACAGATTCTGAAAGAATTTTTCAAAACGAGGATCGAGACAAATGATGTTCCTCAATCAGATTCAGACGACAAGAAAACGTTTCATCCGTTGGTGTCATCCGTTGCTATTGCTTATATCATTTATACACATAAAGTGTATCTTAATCCTCAACAATACGGAAAGCTGTTCGCCTCTTTGATTCTACACCCAGACCCTACAGGGAAAAGGTGTACAGGATTGGAAAAGATTCTTAAAGAATTTCCCGCAGATCAGTTGCAGTAAGTTAGTTTTCTTTCACGGTTAACAATTTTATATGAGAACAAGAAGGATTCGATTGACTTTTTTTTTTCAGTTTAAAATTTTAACTTAACGCTATAAACACATATGAAGATAGAGGTTAACAGATCGTTATTATGGCAGGTATGATAAGATCAATCATGTTTGCCGATGCCAAGAAACCATTAGAATAGTAGACTTGTTAAGGCAGCTTTGCAAACATGGAGTAGATCACACAAAATACAGTTATGTTCTTTAAAATATCCAGAAGCCTTGGTGAAGCCATTCAGGCCATTTGCAAACATGTCGCCAAGAATCACCGTGACCATCATGAATGGCTCTTCGCCGTACCGTTGGTTCACTTTCTGACCCAAGTATCCCAGCCTTTCAGCGGTTCTGTGTTACTTATGGAGGAACCAAAGGAAAAAGACGACACTTGGTGGG